ATCAAAATCAATTCACATTAGAATTACCGTATTTTTTAGATTCTGACCCTGAAGGAGACTTAAATCCATGTAGTTTTCTCCAACTCCATTGTCTCTCCTAGATAGACTTTCATAACCTCCCATCTAACCAGCTGTGACCACTTTGTAACTAGTCTCCTTGCTTCTGGCCTTGCATCCCATCACTTCATCCTTGCCTTTCCAGCATCCCCTCCAGCTGCTGCAAACACATGCTTACTATCCATTCTTCACCTATTGTGATAGTTTTTAATATGACATGGTCAATATTCTTATCAAATTCTTCCATGGCTCTTACTTTGCTTTTGGATAAAGTGTAGATTGTTCATCATGTCTTCCAAGGTTCTGAATGACTGATTCATGCCTGCTAATTTCTTAAGCCTCATCCTGAACCTCTTCCCCTTGTTGAAGCATGTATTTCAGCTAATCTAATTTCCCTGATAGTAGTTTCCCAAACGTGTCATCTCTCTTTTCTGCAGGTTGTCTCCTCTTCCTTTGTTTTTTTTTTTTCTTCTCCCTCCGAAATGCTCTGTCTCTATGCTGTCCATGTCACCTTTTGCTTGTTTGAATTGTCTTGGGTCTCTGCTGACTAGTAACTTCCCAAAGCCTACCTTGATGGACCTGTTAAATTTGGGTCTGATACCCCTCCTCTGTGCTTCTGTGGCACTCAACACTCACCTTCATTACAACATTTGACACAGTGTTCTGTCTTTCCTGCCCCGTAGATTGGGAGCTCTTTAAGAGAAAAACAACAACTGTGTTTTCAAATCTTTACTCACCGTATCTCATAAAATTCTTGCCACATAGGAGTTGCACAACATTTTTATGAATAAATAAATGAATTATTGAAAAAATTGAGTAAAATGCTATCCATTCCACTTGATTCTGTGTCTCTTTTCTAATTTTGACAATCTGAATGGAATAGGGTTTCTAAAGACTTCTCACACTCATGGTTAAAAAGTATATTTTGAACACTGAGCATATGCCAACTATTATGTGTCATAACTAGCCAAAAAAATTCTGCATGCATTTACATGTTTCAAAAAAACCACCTTTTTCTTTTTTCAAAAGAAAAAAAATCTCTATTTCTGAGAAACATAAGCCTAACTATTCCTTGATAAATGTTTTTATTTCCCAGGGACTAGTAGCAACTGTCTTCCAATTTCCAGATTAAATGTGATAAGGAAGGAGTCCATATGATACAGAGCCTGCTATTATAAGAGAGGTGTCATGGTGGACTGGAACTAGACTTTAGGTTTGAAGTTAATGTGGTTGAGTTTCAATCCTCATTTGGCCATTTTTTGAGCCACTCTCAAATACAATAAAGTGGGGGAAAATGCTATCTACTTCAAGAATTATTTAAAGCATTAAATGAGCTTAGGGATGTGAAAATTCTTTAAAAATAAATGAATCCACAAAAGAATCCTTATTTATATTCCCAAAGGAGTTGACTACCTTGAGTATCTGGCAAAAGCACATCTCCACTGGGAATGGCTAAGGGAAATGCAGTAATTATTCCCAAATTGTCCAACACCAGATATCTGTGGCTTTGGTCCCCTGGTTCTCAACCTGGCTAATAAAAATGTTGTTGCCTTGGATCTGGTAAAAAGAGAGAGAGAGAGAGAGAGAGAATACCTCCTTCTCACTTGAGGGTTGAGCTTGTGCCTTTTTTTCCTGTGCCAAATCTAAATCTTCTGGAGAGAAAATGAAAAATTAGTTCACATCCTGGAGCTGACAGTCTTTGAATTTATCACTCTGGAGCTCGGTGAGGGTAGGGCTTATACACTTCATTCCCCAATAAATGTGTGTGTGGGTGGGTGGGTGGGTTTGTGTGTGAGTGGTCTACTACAGAAATCTACTTTTGCCAAGCACTTTAATAATTTTGTTGTGTCATCTTAAATAACTTAGGTGAACATAATAATTATAATTCCTTGGAGGTTTGTACTTTCTTTGTAGGAAAATGTTATCTCTTACAGTTTTGCTGAATATATGGCATGCATTTAAACAATGAGCAAAGCTTCCCAGGTTAGAAAAAATAATAATGTAATCTGCATTGTTTTGCGAATAGTTTTAAATATGCCTACATACAATTTTCTGTTATGTTCCAATATTCAAAAATTATATCATAAGCTTTTTGTGAACTCATTTTACTGGCTATTTGGTATTACTTCCAATGGATGTTTACCACGTTGCCTTAACTTTTTTCACTTACTGATAGAAATTAGGTCTTCTATGAAAAACATTGACCAATATCTGATCTGCTTTTGTCCTGGAGCCCTAAGAAATTCACTCTATGATGGGTTATCTTTGTAGATACTGTAGCTGGTATTCTAGTCTATTTGCTTTTGATCATCTGATTAAGGACTGAGGCAATACATCCATCCAAAGGCTTGGGGAAATTACATATCCCACCGTATCCTTAATGAGGAGCACATATCCAGATGTCTTTTTTTCATCAAACCATGCTCTGCTAGAGGCAATAGAGCATGGTGGTTAGGAACATAGGTTTGAAATCAGATAAATCTGGAATTCAATGATCTGTCCATAACTTTCATTCTGAATGATTTTAGGCAAACTACTTACACTCTCCAAGCCCTAGTTTCCAACTAGTTAAATGAGAATAATGCCCTTTTTGTGGTCCTTTTAGGCTGAGATGATATAAAGTACATGTCACAGTAACTGACATATTATTATTCACACAATAAATATGTGATTAATGAATGATTGCTATAATAACATTATTATTAATATTACCATCTAGACACATATCTTGAAGCCATAGATTTCCATTAATCTTCAAGCCTCCTGATTTGCTTCCTAAAATTCTTGAGTGCTCTCAGACAGCAAGTACTGTCCTACTCAAGGATGTAATTAATGAAGGCATGTAATATAGTATGAACAAATAGTCTTTGCAGCTATAGAGACCTGGGATCTAGTCTCAGATTTACCAAATACTAGTGCTATGTAACATCAGACAAGTTTCATCACTGAGTTCCAGTGTTCTTTTCTCTAAAATGAGGATCTGGATGTCTATGCTGAAAGGTTGTGGGAAGAAATGAACAGTATTTGAAAAGCACCTGGTGCACATTAGGTGCTCAATCAGATTTTATTAACAATGTGACTATTTTTAGCCTTATGGCAGCCAAATTGCAAAGATGGTAAATTTGTTCTGTGTCTGCGACCTCCACTTTCATTCTGCCTGTAATCTCCAACCCCCTCCCCTCCTCATTTTGTCTGAGGAGGTCAGTGCTCTTGTTCTGCCATCCAAACCTGGTCCCCGAATATGAATGGTTCCCAGCCAGCCCATCTCACTGAGAGGGTTGGCCATAGGGCTTTCTTGTCCAGGAATATTTACTTTAGTCGGGAACTTAAAACCTTTTATCTCTTGCTGAAAGAATTTCGAGTACCAGCAGACTATTGAGGGTGATATTTTGGATGGGGATATGGACGTCTCAATGTTGGTCTGGAAATCACACTACATAGGTATAGTTTTGCATGTTCCCCCAAGAAAAACTGACCTAGATGATTTGAAAATTTTCAAGTAAATTAGAGAGAGTGTCCCATCACTCATTTTCCACAATCCATGAAGACTGTGGGGTCAGGGTTGGGTCCAAAGTGCTGGAATCTGTGCATAAAGATCTGCCTCTAGAACTAAGTAGTCAACTACCTTTCACCTATTTCTGGGAGACCTAATGGAAAAGCATTCATAAATAATCTGATTTGATATCTGGTTCCAGACATTCTGGGGAGCCAATTAACTACTTTGCTGTTGCCATTGAAAGTTATCATTCGACATGAATTTTCACCTACTGGATTAAACTGGTTCATGGCTACACTCTTCTTTTCACTCATATGGGGTTGGGGGAACCAGGACTGGTGGAACATGGTTGCCTTCTAAATCTGGTTGGCAAGGCAATGGTGAGGCCAAGTCCTCATAAACTCATCTGTTTCTAGGCTCTCTATTTTCATCCACTGTTTTATTAGTTTATCTTTGTAAAAGTACATTTTTTGTTGCAGTCAATATACTTTTACAATAATCTTTGAAATGTTATAGTGAATCCCTGCCTTTTCTTTTAAAAAATATGTAGGTATTGTGATAAATATTGATTTGGGTTAGGAAATCAATGTCTTACAGGCTATTTTGGAGACACTGAAAAGATAATTCCTTTTAAAAATTATTTTTAGATTTTTATTGTGCTTTGTTAAATGTGATGCTATGTGGCAGCTAAATAACACTGGATTCCAGGATTATTAGGATGAAACCCGGATCTTGAACAAGACCTGTTGTAAGGTTCTTAAGAGGCTGCTGTGATTAATTTACTGGATGTGACATCTTTCACTTGAACAACAAATTTCTATTATTCTATGATAGATTTTGGGTCTACAGCCAAGGAACAAATCAATAATCATGGAATGTGTCCAGAAGTAGAGGATGCAGAATTAAACAGATCACAACACACAAAATTATGAAGGGCAATGAGATTTCTGATGTCAAGTAATTTGTTTTGCTCCCAGAGAACAAACTCTGGAGTCACAATGTTTGGGTCCAAATCCCAGCTGGTAATCTTCTACCTCAGTGATTGTGACACTGTCTGCCTCAGCTAGCCCATCTGAAAAGAGGAAATAACAATGGTACCTACCTAGCTCACATATGTAAGACTATTGAATCAGTTGCTACATGTAGCTATTCACACCGTGCATAAGGACAACATTCAATAAATATTAACTGTTAGTATTGTCATTTGCAGAGACTGGCACCAAATTGAGAAAAAAAAAGTAAGTGGTTGTATATCCTAAAGGTACACATCTTCTACATTTATCCAGCAAAATATGCCTAAAATGTAAGAAAATATAAATGCAAACCTTCCCTAAATCAAAAGAACATCTCTACTATACTATGCCACAATGATCACTTTTTTATCCAGAAACATTCCACCTTCTCTTTTCAACTTTCCCCACCCGTCCCCTTCAGCTGATGTACCAGTATGAGGAGGGAGAACCAGAGCAGCGTGTCCGAGTTTCTCCTCCTGGGGCTCCCCATCCGGCCAGAGCAACAGGCCATGTTCTTCGCCCTGTTCCTGGGCATGTACCTGAGCACGGTGCTGGGGAACCTGCTCATCATCCTGCTCATCAGGCTGGACTCTCGCCTCCACACCCCCATGTACTTCTTCCTCAGCCACTTGGCCTTCACTGATGTTTCCTTTTCATCTGTCACTGTCCCAAAGATGCTGATGAACATGCATGCTAAGTACAAATCCATCTCCTATGCAGGATGCATTTCACAGACATATTTCTTCATATTTTGCGCTGATTTAGACAGTTTCTTGATCACTTCAATGGCCTATGACAGGTATGTGGCCATCTGTCACCCTCTGCATTATACCATCGTCATGAGTCAGAGCATCTGTGTCATGCTAGTGGCTGGATCCTGGGTCATTGCTTGTGCTTGTGCTCTTTTGCATACCCTTCTTCTAGCCCAGCTGTCCTTCTGTGCTGACCACACCGTCCCCCACTTCTTCTGTGACCTTGCTGCCTTGCTCAAATTGTCCTGCTCAGACACTTCCCTCAACCAATTGGTGATCTTTACTGCAGGATTAACAGCCATTATGCTTCCATTCTTATGCATTGTGGTTTCTTACGGCCATATTGGGGCCACCATCCTCCGGGTTCCTTCTAGCAAGGGCATCTGCAAAGCCTTGTCCACTTGTGGGTCACATCTCTCAGTAGTGACTCTCTATTATGGGGCAATTATTGGCCTATATTTTCTTCCTTCATCCAACAACACCAATAACAAAAACCTAATTGCTTCCTTGATGTACACAGTGGTCACCCCCATGTTGAACCCTTTCATTTACAGCCTGAGAAATAAAGACATGAAAGGGGCCTTGAGAAAACTCTTGAGTAATAAAACATGTTCTTCCACCTGATACTTACTTTTCTTTTAAAATATACATATTATCTTATTTCTTCAATTACACATAAACACAAATTATTGTAAATATAGCTCTCCTGTCTTCCTTCCACACTGTCACTGAGAAATGCTTTGCTGACATTATCCTTACATCTGTTGGGGAGAATAGTAAAATTAGATGTACTTTATAGGACTTACTTTGTTCTTTTCTTGGATGATGGGATTGGAAAATACTTTGAAGATGCTGTATCTCTTTGGCTGGTATCATCAAATGGGAGCTATCAGGGCTGGACTTTCCTCAGATTTTCAGATTATTATAAAATATATTTGGTCTTTTATGCATCAATTTCTAAGGAATTTTCCATTTTGGTGATGATATGTCTCCTTCTTCACTCAGACATCCGGGTGTTCAGGGACCTTGAGCCCTTCTAGAACTTCCAAGAAGAACATAGTAAATTTTACTTTCCTTACATAGTAATTAACACACTGCTTGCTTGTCCTTCAGGAATACAGACCACATATTCTTTCTTTCCAAACACACACAGGTATTCAGAAACAAAATAAATGTCACCTCAGTTGTCTCAGATACTGGTTTAAGAGCCTAATCTATGCATTAGGGTCATCTAATTTAATTCTGACAACAACCCTAAGAGATATTTTGAGAAAACTCATGCTCAAAGAGATACTTTGAACAGATGAACATAAGGGAAGGGAAGCAAAAATAATATAAAAACAGGGAGGGGACAAAACATAAGAGACTCTTAAATATGGAGAACAAACAGAGGGTTACTGGAGGGGTTGTGGGAGGGGCCATGAGCTAAATGGGTAAGGGGCACTAAGGAATCTGAAATCATTGTTGCACTATATGCTAACTAACTTGGATATAATTTTTTTTTTAATTTAAGAAAGAGATACTTTTAGAAAGCTCATGTTCAAAAGCATCTTAACATCACAGTTAGTGAAGGAAGATTTGAATCTCGGCTGTCTGACTCCAGAGTGATTCAGCATGGCAAGGAATGTAATTGTTTATATGGAATGCTGTGTCTTGGGGGGAAACAATTAGTGTGAGAGAATATGAAAGACTTCCCAGGGAAGGTGTTGCTTTACCTGAGACTTAACAAATCAGAATTATCCAAACACACAAAGCTCTATCTTGTCCTGGCAATGACAAGAAGAGGGAGTAGAGTGTGCAGGATATTAAACCGGAAGTTTCAGCTGAGGTACCAAGATTCCATACACTCCAGATGCCAAAGTGAGTTGTAACACACAAAATGAAGATGTTTATAGGAAATGCCCAGTACTCAGTTTCATAACTCATTAGCCTCTTAACCCGGATATGGATCTAAAAAGTGCTAAGAGCTAGAGATGAGAGGTTCTCATAAAGTGATGGTGGGTTTTTTTTAGAAGGCTGCACAGTGAACCCCAAATTCTCACAACTGAGAAGAGGGTGCTTTCCTCCTCACTTCAAGCTTACTGGCAGAAGCTTGAAAAGAACCATTTAGAGAGTCTTATATATCTCTCTCATTTGGATGAGAATGATAGCAATAGGAAAAATGAAATAGGGAAAGAGGGGGAATTGAATTATGAAATAGAATTATGTTTTGGGGAAATACCCTTCACTTCTTTTCATGGTGGGTCAATAAAAGCAAAAATGTTTCCTGCCTGTGGAATCACTATGCTGTATGCCTGAAACTAATGTAACATAATTTGTCAATTATACTTCAATTAAGAAAAAGTTTCCTATGGACTATAGGTGAGTTATGTGAGAGAGAAAACTGATGTGAAGCCATTTTCATGTCTCCCCAAGAAAACCCATGACCAAGTCTAGGAAACTTGAAGAGAGAAGAAGAGATCTGTAGGGAATGCACAACCACAAAACCAGAAGCTCTGAGGGGAAACAATTACAGGAAGAAATATACTTTTGTTATATCACAGAGGATGTGTGTGAAGGCAGCCTGGGAGACTCTGAATGTCTGCTGGCCCAGAAGGGACAAGAGAATGAGTCTGTTCTAACCATCATCCAGGTCAAAAGAAGTCAAAACCTTTTTAATATGGTAGCAACCAAAGGAGCATATTACTGTCATCCTTTGTTCATTCTTTCTTTCAAGCTTTATCCCAGAGGGTGGATTCAGCAACTGCAACTAGATTTCAGAAAAATGATGGGGTGGGGGTCGGGGG